CTTCTGTCTGATTATGTGTGTATTATTGGTTCTGAGTTAATTATGCTAGTTATTTGTTTTCTTTTCCTTATTTGAGTATAAAGCTCTGTCACTCCAGGAAGGAGGAAGAAGGTGCTCTCCTCAATCTGTATATTTCTCTTTTTTTAATTATTTGTTATTTTTTGATGTGTTCCATTATTTGTATGTATTTTTTACAAAATTCTGATTATTGATTTATCTAAAATAAAAAAATTCCATTATAAATGCAACGCCACAAAAAACTTTTGTCCAGTTCTATGAAAAAAGGATTGTGAAACTCTTCAATGTCTAACTCTGATTGTTGCTGCTCTGTTTTCTGAAGGAAATGACAAGCCGTCGTCACACTAGTCAAATAATTAATTACCTACTTCATACAATTACTAGCAGTAAAGCAGAAAGCAGAGTCGATCCCACAGAGAAGGTTACCAAGTACCGGTTAAAATTATTTCTTATTATTATTTAGATTAACAATTTATCAATTTAAACTAATCTAAACCTAAAACTAACAGTTGTAATTATTTAAAGATATAAATAAGTAAAAGAAAAAAACCTAGGGCAAAGGGTTCACCAAGCGACTATTCAGTTTAAGTTAATCAATAGATATGTGACTTTCAACTCTCATTAATCTCACGACAATTCACCAATTTAAGAATTATACACTCTCGTGTCATAACCCGTTTACTTAAACTAACCCTATGACTACTCTCGTGACTATAGGGATTAATAAAAGTACATTTAAGAACTTTGGAATTACTAGTCGCAAAGGCTGTGTTCCTACTCTCGTGGCTCACTACCTAAGTTTATTATTCCTACAAACTAATACTAGCCTTCCACTCTCGCTACTTCAGCTAGCACCTTAAAGCATGCAAATATTGATCAGGTATTCACAAAAATGAAAAACAAGAATAATAAATATTAATTAATGAAAAAGTCACAATCATAACTTAAATTAAATTAAATAGTACGGCGGCTACATCCAAAACCCTAAATTAAATAATTTAGCTACACATCATCACAAAATAAAATAAATAAACAACGAAACAATGGAACCCGGGAAAAGAACAAATCCAATTCCGAAGTCCAGCCTCGAAGGTTGATCCGAAAGCTCTGAAGTTGCTCCACTCCCTTTCTGATGATGATGGTAATATATGTGTGGTGTGTGCGCGTGGGTTTTTTTTTTTTTTTGTGCGTGGAAGTGGTGGCTGGCTTAGAGGGTTAAGTTTGGGGTTTTGGGCTTTGGTGATGGTTTTGCGGTGAGGAGGAGAAGATAAAAGCAAGGTGGTGCTGCAGCGAGGAGAGAAGAGCAGGCAGGTGGGTTTTTTTGCGTGGAGAAGGAGGGTGGTGCTGGTGCGTCGGAGGTGTGCAGGGCTGCTGGTTCAGGCGTGGGTTTGTGGCTGTGCGAGAGAGTTGGAGTTTCGGTGAAGATGGAGCAAGATGGCTTTGTGCGCAGCAAGGAGAGGGCAAGGTAGTAGTGGTGATGGAGGCGTGGAGTTGGGGCTGATGGTGGTGGTTCGGCGAAGGTGGAGAAAAAGGGTGGTTCGGCGGAGGGTTGCAGCGGCGGTCTTTGTTTCGGCCAAGTTCCGCCTACAAAAATAAAACTCTAATCCTTTTTTTATAGGTTTCCGTCAAACCCTATTTCTTCGGGAATAAGGAAACTATATTTCTTTCAAGTCAACTGGGATTAAAACTCCTCCGGATAATTTTAATTGGCCACTGAAATCAATTCGGAAACCTTCTTCGCCAAAAATCCAAATCGGCCAAATTCAAATCAAAAACCCAAATTTGCATCATCGGTCCTCCAATTTTTTAATTACTTCAATTTCTTCTATGTCAATTTATCAAATCTTCAATTCTCCCCTTCGAGTTGCTTTAATCTCTAATTTAGCTCAAATACTTCAACAATTCTTCAATTGAGTACCAATTCGTACAAATAAAGATAAAAGCATATAAATAGCATATTTGGACTCAAAATATATTGTAAAAATCACAAATTAGGGATATAATAAATAGGTAAACTATAAGCATATCAGGAAATCCCAGGCTGATCTTCCCCCAACATATCCAATAAGATTGTGGCTGATCCAGGTGAATCGTTTTCCTTTTTTCCTTAACTTTGATTCTTGTCTCTGTCATTGTTTTTGGTGGTTTAATGTGGCTTCTGCCAGCTCTCATTTTGGCTTGGATAAACTGCCTTTAATCTTGGTGTCTAGATAAGTAAACGGTATGCTCTTGTGGAACTTTAGGTTTTATTTTCTTTCGCTTTTGTCATGTACCAAGTTGTTTCCATTTTGATAAAGTAACAGTTTTTTTTGTTGTTTTAAATATTTAGGAAGTGTTGTTATTTGTTGAAATTCAAGTAATACTGATGATTCTTGATGGTGGTTGGCTGTCCATTTCTATCACTTAAAGTTCTGTTATTTGGTTGGTGTTGCTTGCTTAGAGGTTTTGAAGATTGAGCTTCTTTTTTGGTTGGTTAGATCAGTGAATGCAATGTCAAATTATGCGATTTATGTATCTTTTTGTTATCCGTGAGATTTTATGTATCTTCTTGTTGGCCAGGAGATTTTTTGCATTGACAAATTGAGATGTAGTGGAAGATTTCAAGAATTATATTAGATTTTTTTTTTCCAGAGATACTTTTGGGACACATTGAAATGTCCTTACAGGAAAGAACCTGTTTGGACACTTTCAAGCGTCTCATTATACATGAGTATAGGGGACATTTTTGAAATGTCCAATTATATAGCACATTGTTAGGACACTGATAATTGTCCTAAATTCTAAGTTGACAGGTCAACATTCGCAATTTTTTTTGGGACGCTTTGTTCTAATGGGATGCAAATATATGTTCCAATGATCTATTGTGACATTGAACTGGAGGACACTTTTACACGTGTCCCAATTTTGCATGTGTCTCTATAAATAGGTTAATGGGACACTTGAGAGCGTCCCTATTCAACCCTTTTGTTGTAGTGTCTGTTGCAACCGATTCTGCCTTCCTCTTGCTGCTTTGGTTCTGCGTATGGTAGCTTCAATTTCTGGGTCAAAAATAGGTTCACTTCGTTGGTGCCTTCTAGTCATACACCAAAGAAAAGAAACTGGAAGCTCAGTGGGGTAACTAGAGAGGAAAATTATATATTTACAAATAAACAAAAACAACAAATTTTTGGAGGTTTTACGCTGTCCCCGACAACAGCGCCACTTTCTGGTGCGTGCCGAGTTCACCAAAAATATTACTAGCTTGGATTATGAATTTTGTAGATAATAGAAGTTAGGTCGATTCCACGAGGACCCTAAACCAAATTTGTTGTTAAAAAAACTACCAGTCAGACAAGGTGTCACTCAGGGGAATAGAAACAGTCACTCAGGGGAATAAAAGCCAGGGGTGTTCATCTCTTTTTCCTACTGCTGTAGTTGTTTATTAGCACTGTAATGGTTGAGTTCTTGTTCATCCAGCTCACTTATAACTCTAAGTCAGTTCCCATTTTTCCTAGAGTCATCCTTGCAACCTTAACAATCTATTTTCCAATGATTGATTCCAGTTACAAAGTCATTGAGTTCTCAGGCCTTCATGAATGCTTATGTTAACTAAGTATATTCCTATCTTAGTTAAAACCATAGACTGTTACCTCTATATCATAAGTTAAAGTTGAAACAATCTAAACCAAGTTTATCTTTCCAGATCTCCCTTAGTTCTAGCATGCATTCAATTTAGTGATCAAGTAAATGAATGTAGAAAAACTTTCAACTTTAAAACGAGGAACAGAACCAGTGCATTACATAACTACAACATAGGTTGAGGAGATTAACCCCTGGAAACTTCTTAGCTACTCATGCAAATTAATGCTACATCTACTACATCAACAGTCATCATAGAAGTATGCATAATAAAACGAAATTCAAGCTAACAGTCAAGAGACGAGAAAAAAAGCTTGTGCAGTTCTGAGTCACTCCTGAGAGTGAAGGGGTTCACTCATGGAACTGAAGCAGAAACTGGGATGGCTGTTCTTCACTTGGCTTCCTTACTGAGTGGGTGTTGCTCCTTCTTCCTTCTTGCCTTCTTCCTGAAGTTTTTCTGTGTGTTTTGGCAACTGGAAAGGTAACCAGAGATAGATGATTTCTTCTGAGAGTGAAGTTCCCCTTTTATAGAGCCTTGTAGCCGGTTCTTTAATAAAGGGAGCCTCTCATGCTTGTGAATTGTTTAATTCTCCCTATGCCTTGTGCCTGGAATCCAAAATTGACTGGTCTTTTTCTCTTCTTCCAGTAGTGGCAGCATCATCCTCATTGATCACCAGGGGTGGCTGGAATTTCGGCTGAGAGACAAGCATGGCTCTTGGAATTCAAATGAGAGAAATACTCATTAATGGCAAGATGCTTCTTGTCTAGGGGGTACTTTTTCGTCCAGCTCAGCAAAAATTGCATCAGCAGCCCACAATTTGTTTCTTTGGCCTCAATTTTTCAGCAATTGTTCAATCAAACCCCAACCTAATAAAAACACGAAAACCAGTTAAGTAGAATGCACTAATAATAGGAAACACCCCTAATTTCTTACTAAATTCAGAGTTAATTGTGATGCTTTTTTGTAACAAATAATCCATTATCAACTCTCGCAAAAGACAAATATTTTTTGATTGGCACTCTCGGAAACAGAAAGTGTTCTAAGCATGTGAATATTTAACTGATGTGAATATTTAAGGTATGTGAATATTTTGAGCAGGAAAACTACATCTAGTGTACTAAAAGTGAAAACCCAAACTGGACAATAATTATGGGACGGAGGAGTATAATTCAAAGAAGATATTTCAATACCATTGGAATCTATATCTAGTTTACTTACTTAACTGCCAAATGGCTTCTCCTTTATGGAGATAAATTTTGATCCTTTGTGAGTTCCAAATAGATAAAAATTCCTATTCTTCCGATTTTTGGATTTAAAAACAATGAAAACTTATCTCCAACAACTATTCAATAAATAAATATGTCCACAATTCAAGCAACCTAATTAGAGTAAAAATTCAAGCAACCTAATTCAAGCAGCCCAAATTTAGCAAAAATAACGCTTCAAAAGTCAAAGCCTTTCATTCACCTAATCCAAGGCTCTCTTCCGTTCAATTTCAATTAGAGTAAAATGACGGGATCAATTAATTATTTTCTCACAACCCAAAATTCCAAATCCTCTTCACAGTCTAATTTCCTGTTACTCCCTTAATTTACGCGAACAGATCAGATCCAAAACCAACTTGAAATTCAAAAACTTTAAACACAAACTGAAAATCAGAGATGCAAATCTTAAATTTACACACAGAAGATATATCTTCCGCGATCTTCTCTCTGTCTGTGGGGATTGAACAAAATCAAAAATAAAAATCAATCATCAAGAGCGGGGAAGAAGCTACAATTGCACAGGGGGTAGCGGAAGAAAAATTCCCCGCTACAGGCTCTTATGTGTTCCGGTGGGTTTTCTCCTCGGACGCTTATGAAGAGTCTGAACCTCATGCCGAATCCGAGGAAGAAGCTCCAATTGCAGAGGCAGCCGGCGACCAGGATTTTATCCAGATCCTTTTTATTATATAGGAAAGAAACAGCTGGCAAAATAAAGGGAAATCCTGCGACGGGGATAAACAACTGAGACGGAACAAGAAGTTTAAAGCGGAAAAGGGTAACGACAATATGTGATTTCGAATTTTTATTATGGTTCTGTTCTGCCGAGGTCAAAGAACTTTTTTACCAATTTTATTGCTGAGTTGGCTTCTGAAACCGCAGCCGCCATGACTGCCAACCATCCTGAATATACTTGTGTGAGTACCCTTTTCTTTATGGAGATTTCTTTTTGCTCAATTGATTTTATGTAGAGAGAAATTTTATTGCTCCATTGATGAGAGAATAAGCGTAATTAGGTTTTGTTTTTCTTGATTCCTTTTATTGTATGATACAATTTGTGCATTTTATATTGTTGTTTCTCGGCCTTGCCAAGTGTTTGGTTATTGCTCGAGATTAATGGATATATTAATTCTTCATCTCGATGACAGTTGGCTGCAAGGTTTGCTGTTTTAAATCTCAACAAGAACACACAGAAACCGTTTTCTGAAACGTGAGTCCTTCAATGGTTTTTCTGATGCTATGTCCTCTATTGAAATAGCTGATTTACCGGTATACGTTTTGATGTCTTAAGTGTGTTGTTGCAGGGTCAAGGATTTGTATAGCCATGTCAATGAGAGGTCAGGGTTGAAAGCTCCTCTTATTGCTGATGATGTTTACGAGATAATCATGAAGGTAATGATTAATTTGTCTGTATCATGTTGAATTTCCTGTTGTTCGAAGCTGAAAAGTTACATACTGCTGTTTCAGTAATTTGTCTCAAGAAACATTCAGAGTTTGTTTGTTGTGAGATGAGATTAAATGAAACAAAAACAGAATATAGTAGTAATTTAAGATGAAGTCACGATAGATTTCATTTGACTATGTGTTTTGAGTTAGTATATGCCATTACTTTGCTTGATGGTTATGATTTGTAAATAACCTGTTTTTATTTCAGCAAGCTTCACGTCTAGATAGTGAGCTAATCTATGATCGGGACTTCGACTATAATTACTTTGGCTTCAAGACACTTGAGTTTCCTCCGATCGCTACTCTTATCTTTGGTCGAAGTAGAAATCCCGTTCAAGGAGATAAGCGATGGGTGGAGTTATGGCCGAAGATTAGCGGTTTTTGGAGTTAGATCCTAGAGGAGGCGGTATGTGTAAGTAAGGTTTGGTGGCTGATTCTCCGCTCATTTTTTTTTTTTTTTTGATTAATGACTTATAGTTTTCTTGATTAATTTCACCGAGGGGAAAAATTCAGTTTCCAAGTAACTTCTTAGTTATTCTTGAAATCAAGTGTTGTTTTCTTTTCTTTTTTTTCTTTTCAAAATAAACGAAGTGTTGTTTGGTTAAGAATTCAAATAAATCAGAAGTAAAAATAGAAGAATCTAAATGTACAAATGAAGCCATTCTTCAGTTTCAGCTTGCATTAGTCTTTTTGTGAAGATACTTTCTGCTTCATTTTAACTTGTATCAGTTTCATTTTTGAAAAAGTAGGATATTTCCTTTAAATTGTTAAAGTTTGGTTCGGGACTTGAAGCTAAAGGTATCATCCATCCGAAAGTCTGCTAGCTACTTTTCAACCTTAGTTTGGTGATATAATGTCCTTTTCAACCTTAATTTGTTGTAAATGTTCTCTTGATACGGGATACATTGTTAACACTTGCAGTCAGAGCTTTCTTGCTATTTCCAAAAGCATGAATGGCCTATCAAATGGCTATTATTCTTTTCTGAAATGGAGACAAATTGGATCAGTGCTACCAACTTAATTGATCATCTGCAGATACACCAATCCTACGTATTTCAGGTACCCCTTTTTTGTGGTATGATTACTAATGATCTTAATTAAGTTCATTAATTGTGTTGAAAATTGTAGCATTGTTGGTGTTGCATCTGAAATAAGTTTATATCTATTCTTGGAGCACATTTGATTTTTTTTTTTTTTAAGATTGTTTCTTCTAACAATCTTTAATTGTATTAGATGAGAAATAAATTGGTAAAAATACAATGTGTTGAGTTGGAAAAAGAAGTACAAATTTGGCAGTACGTACCATAAATTTTTGATGACCTTTATGAGCGGGTGTTGTACTTGGGCATTTTACTTAAAAATCTTCATGACAGTTTCATTTCATTAGCAGACAGGGGACCCATTATAAGGTGATGAAAAATATGATAGATGAAGTAATAATCCTTTTTTTGAAGCTTTGGAAATAGCCAGGAATGAATAAGGAACCAGGACACTGATCTTTAACTAATAAAGTATACTAATAGTCTGTTTTCCTTCCTAAAGCCTCACGGCAATACCTCAATATGTCGAAGTGAGGATTGTTAGCGGGTAACAAGTTCATGATTTTTTTTGGGTTTTCCCGTGAGCGTAATGGTGAATTGTGCCGACAACACTGGGTAACAGAACCTCTACATTATTTCGGTGAAGGGAATCAATGGCTGGCTCAACAGCCTCCAGAAGAGCAATTTTTAGCATTTTCAATAATTTGAAACATCACTTATATATATGTATGATCTTCAAAATATATATAATTTTTTTATGATTTAAATGTATCATCTGTATATGTAGCCGACGCTCTGGGTTGAGAATTTTATATAATGTTATTATAGTATATATTATAATAAATTTATTGTATTAATGTCGAATGATTTGTTATTTTCATTTAACCGACATGAACACAAACGCTGTCCGGGCCAATTTTCTAATTGACATAAATTATATTAATTTATTTAATATTATTATTTTTAATTAATATGAATATAACATTAAAGGCGCCCCGGCGAAAGCCCAGCCCAAGCATCTAGTATCCTATTAAAATAATAGTCTAAGAGAAAAAAAAGGCTGACGTGTCGCGTTCTTATACATTCATTTTCCACCTAAAAAAAACTTCGTAGGTTTGTGAAAAAAATTGATTCCAACAATCTTTAATTGTGTTAACTTTTCTTGTCCTTAATTATAATTAATCAATTAATATTAATAGAATAAGGCATTAATGATATACATAAATAATTCTTTTATTAGTTTGAAAATTTAAACATACAAGTTGAGTTAAAGTTGAAAAATACTTTTACCATTTGTATATTTAATTTTAAAATAGATTCTTATAAATAGGTCGGGCAACGCCCGAACAAGCACCTAATCGTTTATTAAATACATTGTTTTTTAGCACGACTCAATTATTTTATTTCTTACATTAGCATTTAGCCTACATCTTTCTTGCATTTGCCAAATTGTGGTCACAAAAACAGTTCCAGATAAATAAACTCTTAAATTGAACTTTTACTATGAAACGGAGAGAAGAACTCCTAGTGAAATTGTTATACCAACTGTGGTCACAAAAACAGTTCCAGATAAATGCATGCTAGATTTAGTGAATGTCTAAACCTAATTAAATTTCTCTGTTATACTTACTGAATTTAAATTTATTCAACATATTTACATGTTTTACACAAAAAATCTTTATTCTTGATCCGCCAGAACCGTCATAGAACCCGTTAATAGAAGGTTAGAGAATAATTGTAACACGGCGCTTCTTTTTTTGGGTAAGTCTTAAGCACTGCTTATTATAATTTTTTATTTTTCATAAAATCGGGAGATGCCTACCAGGTACCGCCCTGGTTCTTCTAAAAAAAAAAAAAAGGAATCAGCTACTGAATATTCCGATGTAGATGGCGATATTAGAAATGTGATTCAGAGTCTCAAGTCACTCCGAGAAGCGGCGAGATCAAACTCGCCGGAATCACTTGGAGCCGTGCGGGTAGGGTTTTCCTCTTTCCCATTTTGAAAACTGTTGGAAACATTATAAACAAAAGTTGCCACTATTCTGGCAGATTTCACTTAACGAAATGTAGTCGTCCCTATTCTAATTTCTGATCGTAAATGAATTACAAACGTCAGAGATATTCTTGTCAGGTACCGATCGATCTAAATAAAGGGTATGCAAAACATTTCCTTGATTTTGTAATAGTGCACTCCTTTCTAATAAGGTGGAAATTAAGAACTAATTAAAGCACCCTCAAGGGTTTTATGTAATCACACTACTATATACTAAGACATTTTGCTTTTATTTACTTTAGAAAATTTGGGTCAAGGACAGTAGAACATGTTAAATTAATAAAAGGGGTATGACCTTAAAATACTTTTTATGAAGGACGGTGGTTTATTTTTCAAAATATATAAAATAAAAATATTTTAAATTGACAATACCACCCCTATATTATGCGATAATTAAGCTCAATAATGATGACTTCTAAGGAGCAGCAGCAATAATTAAGTTCTGAATTCAAATGAACATATGATCACTCAACGGTTGATTCAACAACCGCGCCCCGGTTGAATAGAACAAGTATTCCGAACCAATTAATTCCTAAAATTAAAAGAAGTTTTGAAATAATTTAAATTTCAATTTGAAATGATTTTGATTCCATTAATCAATTAAAATCAAGCTAACTAACCCTCTCACAATCTTCTTCTGTTTCCCACGACTACTCCGGAGAAGGCCGGCAGTTAGAAAAGAGAGAGAGAGAGAGAGAGAGAGAGAGAGAGAGAGAGAGAGAGAGAGAGAGAGAGAGAGAGAGAGAGAGAGAGAGAGAGAGAGAGAGAGAACGGATGTGGTGGCCAAAGTGTTTTCCGGTCGACTGGACCGAGACAGACATGAGAAATTGCGCAAAAAATGAACATGAGTAAGAGGAAAATGGCACCTGAAATGGATAACGACGAGGGCGATGAAGAAAGGAAAGAAGCATGGGAAGTAGTTCAACAGGCTATGGGAGAATGGCTGGAATTCCAAAATGTGGTACCAGTAAAGGCAAGGAGCGGAACTAAAGAACCACAGCAGATACAAGATCAAAGTTGGAAAAGCCCAGAGCCAGGGAGAACCAGGATAAGTGTGGGAACAGAGTGGCCGAAGGGGAGATGCAAAGCAGGTGCTGGGTTTTGCCTAAGGAGTCAAGGTGGGAACCTGATAGTAGCTACAGCAACACCAATAGAAAATGTACAGAATGAAGTAACAGCTGAGTTGATTGCATTAAGAATGGCTTTAGAAGAGGCAAGTAGAAGTCCAATTAGATACCAAAACTATGGTAGCTTGGTTTTAGGGAAGAATTTCCCCAGTTTCAGATGTTATTACCAGAGTTGAGGATATCTTTTCGCTGAAAGAATGTTTTTTAAGCTGTAAATTTCTGTTTATTCATAGGAAGTGGAATTCAAGTAGTCTCAATCTCGCTAAATTAGCTTTATCTAACAACATAATACAACGGTGGGAAACAAATTTGCTTTTGTGGTTAGACAAATCGTTCAAAGCGGATTGTAATATCTCATTGTAAATTTTAAAGTACTTTGTCTATTTTTCTTAATATATGATTATCGTTTGACAAAAAAAAAAAGAAAAAGAAGAGGGCGACGCTTAGAAAGATGATCTTGGAGAAATTGAACTGGTGGTTGAGCTCTGTTCCAATAAAAAATGGATCTGTTTCTATTGGATTTGATTTTGAATCTCGATGTCCTTCTACTTTTATTAATAGTTATGATATTATTATTCTTGAATGGTCCAAACAATGATCGTAATTAAAATCTCATGTTATACAATCCAGTGTTTAACGTCTTTTTCCCCATTATTAGCTCAGAACTACTGTAGATCAATGAATAGAGCTGCGAAAATAGCTTAGAATATTAGAAGGATATATAGTACGTATGCCATGCATGTCCCAGAGAGCAGAAGCATCAATCCATTCAAAAATATGTCTAAAAAAAATACATAATACAACAAAGAATTTGTCTCAAAAATAATATGGAAGAAGGTACAACATTTATTTGATGGCTAGGACACAATATGAATTTTTATTTTAGTTAAATTTTTTTCTTAAAAAAAAAAAGAAACGGAAAAATGTTTTCCAAAAAAAAAAAAATCAGAAATGGGTTTTTGTAATTTTCAAAAAATTGGGGGACATCTGAAATGTTCTCTTAAATTAAACTACGGAGAATTTTTTGTTCATTAAAAGGAGCCAAATTTTCATGATTTGGACAAAATCAGGTAGAAAGTGGAACTTCATGATGATATTGGTTTTCAGAAAATACAGTGTAATTAAAACATATAGAAGCCAATTTAGTCGGTGCCCTCCCTTGCTCCTAAAAACCCCGCAAAGGACGACAATGACTTAAAAATGATTTTGTTATTTTACAGAAATAAAATTTTATACATTTTTTCATTTTAATGCTATCATTATTTGCTGCATTATGCATGGAGTGTATTTGAAGATAAACATAGAGACGTGAAGGAGGTAGCTGAAGAAATCAGAAGGGTGATCAGCCAGGAGAGTGAGGTTGAAGACAAATATCCGAAGCTCCAGGGAATTAAAGCTACTTGGAAAAAGTTGAAAATTTTGTAAATTAACTAGTGAGGCTTGTAGGTTTTTTGGTATGTAATTTTGCAGTAGTGTACAGATTAGTGCAGGAAGGTAGTTAATGTAAAATGTGTGTAAGTATGTGAATATTTGATGAGCAGAGGCAATACAATTCATATTTTCACCTAAAAAAAATGATCACCATCATCATCCTCATGTTGTGTTTGAAGTAAAACTTAGTGGTACCGTATGAATGTCTATAACATTTTTTTTTACAATAAGAAGGAGACAAAGTCTAAAATAATTTCAATTATTACATTACGTGGATAGAAAACTCCAAGTAAATTGTATCTCAAATACTGTAGGATCCCATGGGGTGATCGTCAACCACTATAAGCCTCCCAGATAAGTAGCGGCCAAGAATGCCAAATGATCTGCAAAAAATTAGTTTCACGTAAAGTAAAGAATGTCGCAGCTCAATGCTCCAGACTCTATGCAACAATTCCGAATTCCCAATATCAAGCCTTTCAGAATACCAGCCGGCTCATTATTACTCATAACTATTGTTACCACACCTTGATTAAAATATAAAGCGCTTTTAGTTTTAATTGTAAAAGTACAACAAACATTCGCCAATCAACATCATGCATTCCACCGGTCAACTGCAAAATGTGTTAAACATGAATACTAGTAGCTACATACCAGTGGTTCTGACTGGATTGAAAGGAAATACATCAATTTATTAGGTAAATGTGCTTTTCACAGATTGGATTACGTCTTAATTAATTAGTTCTTAATTCCTATATAAACGTCGGTTAATTTGGGGCTATGTAGAACACCTTTAAAACTACTATCTATTAACGCATTGATCTAGGAAAGAAGAATGGCTAAAGGGATTGCAGCTAAGTTCAATGTCATCATTCTGGTTGCCCTTTTCATTGGTACGTAAACAATATTTCGCCACTCTCATTGATTAATTTATTCTTTATTCGTACGTGATTTAGTTGGGCTTCCTTGTAATTGCATTTGAACTTGTATGCCTTTTCCTCAAAAAAATATCTCAAGAGCTTTTTACACTAGGTACAATTTGTACAAATTTATGTTTGTTTCGTTTTTTTTCATATGTATTTTTGGGTGTTTTTTGTGTTGAAAATGTAAAAAAGTGTATTAAAAATGTAAAAAGGTATGTTGGGAGAAACCAAGTTTTAAATTAGCAGAAATGGTGTTTGATCATTCTACTGTGTGTGCAGGATTTGCCCAGCCAACAAAGTCAAACGACTCGAAAGAAGAGAAAATTACCCAAGCAATTAATGAGTTAAAGTTGGCGGTGGATAAACTTAACTCAGTATCTTTTGATCAGGAGAATAGTGATGGTATTCTCAAGCTTCAATCAGCCCTCATGGGACTGATTCATACATTAGGTAATGATCATAAACAAAGTAGATACAAATAGACTTAATTACTAAACCCTTAAAATTCTAAATAGACTCTTAAACATGAATTTTATTATGAAACATAGAGAATAAACTCTTAGTAAAATTGTAGAAAATGCATGCTCGATTTAGTGTCTGAATGTTTAAATTAACCTAATTAAATTTCTCTGTTATACATATTGAATTTCAACATATTTACATTTTTACACCAAAAAAAAAAAAAAAAAATCAATCTTTATTCTTGATCCGCCAGAAAGCAAAGGATCAGCTACTGAATATTCCGATGTTGATGGCGATATTAAAAATGTGATTAAGAGTTTCAAGTCATTCCGAGAAGCGGCGCCGGAATCGCTTGGAGCCGTGCGGGCTTTTCCTCCTCCCATTGTGCCAACTATTGGAGACATTATAAACAAAATCGTTAACATTCTGTCAAGTCTCACTTAACCGAATGTAGTCCCTTATTCCAATTTCTCATCACAAATTAATCAATTACAAACGTCAGAGATATTCTCGGCAGGTACCCATTTTAAATATAAAACTTATGCAAAATATTTGCTTGATTGCTTTTTTAATAGTGTACATCTTTTAACAAAAAAAGGGGGAAATTAAGAACTATAGCAGCCCTCAAAAGTTTATGTTATGTAATCACACTACTATTATAATAAGACATTTGCTTTTATTTACTTTATACTATGTCCATTGGATTTGATTTTAAATCCTCGATGTCCTTGATCTACTTTTATTAATAGCTATGATATTATTATTCTGGAATGGTCCAAACAATATTGTCTGTAGACCAATGAATAGAATTGCTAAAATAGCTTAGAATATTACCAGGACCATGTCCCAGAGAGCAGAAGATGAATCCAAGTGTCCTGGTACGACTCGTAACAATCTTATTTTGTTGCTTTGAAGCAAACGTAAAACCGAAGGAAACATTAATAATGACAAGCTAGGCTCCTGGGATCATACACATACCTGTGTATGTTACAATACATAATGTAAAAAAAGAATATGTCTCTCAAAAATGTTATGGAAGAAGCTAGTATAACATTTATTTGATGGCTACGACACAAGATGAATATTTTTATAAATAAAATTTACAAAAAAAAAAAAAAGAAAGAAAGAAACGGAAAAATGTTTTCAAAAACATTTCAGAAATGAAAAGGGATGTTTTTCAAAAAATTGGAGGACATCTGAAATATATTCTCTTAAACTACGGAAAAAATTTTGTTATAAATGGAGTCAAATTTTCATCAGTAGGACAAAATCAGCTAGAAAGTGGAACTTCATGATGATATTGGTTGTGTGAAAATACAGTGTAAAACATGTAGGAGCCAATTTACTCGGTGCCCTCCCTTTCTCCAAAATAACCCAGCCAAGGACGACAATGACTCAAAGACAATTTTGTTATTTTAGAAAAATAGAACTTCATACTACAATTTTAATTTTAAAACTATCATTAATTATTTGCTGCATTTTCAATGCACGTTTTACTAAAGTTTCAAATATACTTGGAGGTTAGCCGAACCGGTGTATAAGCCATCATGTTTGGGGGTTAGCCAAACTTCTGTGTAATCCCACTATCCTGGAAAACAGTTTTACTACTGCATTTTTATGGATTTGATTTCCCATTTTTAAGTCTGGTATTTATTTATAGCTATGGCTATTTAGTTTATTCAGCTGTGATAAGGGAATTCATCATCCTAATGTTGTGTCTGAAGTATATATTATAGGTACCATATGAAACATGTCCTTTTTTTTTTTTTTTTGAACAATAAAAGGAGACGAAGACTATAAAGATTTAAATTATTACATTACAAGAATAAAAGACCCCAATCAAATCGTGTTCCAACTATTGTAAGATCCCAGGCGGTGAATCGTTAAACCACTATAAGCCTTCCGGTTAAGTAACAGTTACGGATGTCAAATGATCCTCCAAAAACACTAGTTTTACGTACGAAAAGAATGTCGCAGCTCGATAATCCATTCTCTATGCAACAATGCCGAATTCCTAATATATATCAAGCCTTTACAAATACCAGCCGGCTCATTACTACTCGTAACCATTGTTACTACACTGATAAAAACACAGTTCGCTGTACATTTTTAATTGTAAAAGTACAATAAAAATTCGCCAAGCAACATTATGCATTCCACCGGTCAACTGCTAAATGTATTAACATGAATGCTAGGTAGTAGCTGCGTACCAGTGGTTTTGACTAGATTGTTGAGAAATAAATCAATTTATTGGGTAAATGTGCTTTTCACAGATTGGATTACGTCTTAATCAATTTTTTCTAATTCCTATAAACGTTTGTTAATTTCGGGCTACGTAAAAAAAAACACCTTGTAAACTACCATTAACATATTGATCCAGTAAACAAGAATGGCTAAAGGGATTGCAACCAAGTTCAATCTCATCATTCTGGTAGCCCTTTTCTTTGGTAAGCGACAGTCTCATTGATTAATTTATACTATATTCTTTTTTCGTACGTGATTTGTTGGGCTTCGTTGTTATTGCATTTGTGCTTGTATATCTTTCCTCAAGAAAAATCTCAAGAGCTTATAATTATGTACATTTTGAGCAAACTTTGTTCTTGTAATAAAATGATAATCAGGTCGTAATCTGTGATTCGCTTTTGATATTGATTGTTTTTTTTCAAAAGAAAGAAAATATGGATAATTGAAGTCCCTAGTTAATTACTTCAAACATAACAACTAGAAACCACCGTTTTAAAGTAGCAGATATGGTATGATCATTCTACTGTTTGTGCAGGTTCTACCCAGCCAACAAAGTCATCAAACGATACGAAAGATAAGATAATTACCCAAGCAATTAATGAGTTAAAGTTGGCGATGGATAATCTTAACTCAATATCTTTTGAGGAGAATAATGACGGTATTCTCGAGCTTCAATCAGCCCTTGGAGGACTGATTCATGCATTAGGTAATGATTATAAACAAAGTAGATTCAAATATAGACTTAATTATTAAACCCTGAAAATTCTAAATAGACTCTTAAAACATGATTTTTATTATGAAACGGGGAGAATATTATTCTTAGTGAAATTGTAGAAAATGCATGCTCGATTTAGTGGTCTCTCAACCTAAACTTCTCTGTTATACGTTTTGAAATTAAATTTATTTCAACATATTTACATGTTTTCCTTTTTTTTTTACATAAAAATCTTTATTCTTGATCCACCAGAAAGCAAAGGATCAGCCATTGACTATTCCGATGTGGATGCCGATATTAGAAAAGTAATTAACAGTTTCAAGTCACTCCGAGAATCGGCGAGATCAAACTCGCCGGAATCACTTGGAGCCGTGCCGGCTTTTCCTTTTTCCATTATGACAACTGTCGGAAAACTTATAGTCAAAGTCGTTGGTATTCTGGCAGGTCTGATCACATAACAAAATGTAATCCCCTATTCATATTTGCCATCACAAATAATTACAAATTTAAAGGATATTCTTGCCAGGTACCGACCTATCTCTAATAAAAACGTACGCAAAAGATTTGCTTGCTTGCTTTTGTAATACTAGTGCACTCATTATAACAAGGTGGGAAATTAATAACTACAGTAGCCTCAAAGTTTATGTAATCACACTACTGTAACAAGACATTTTATTTACTTTATTTATATGTTGGATTTGATTTTGAATTTCCAAGTCCTCCTACTTTTAGTAATAGTCAGAATATTTATTATTCTGGAATGGTTCAACAATGATCGATTTCAAAACCACATGTTACAACGCTATACATCTTTTTCCCCTAAATTATTAGCTGAGAAGTGCTGTAGATCAATGAGTAGAAAATGCGAAAATAGCTTAGAACATTCCAAGAGAACAGAAGTATCAATCCAGGTTTCCGCTAAAGTCCTTTGTTGTTTAAAGCAAACATAAAAATGAATGAAGCTATAGTAACAAGCTAGTGAAACTTTGGCTCCTGGGATCATAAACATATTTTGTAACAAAGAATTTGTCTCAAAAGCGTTATAGAAGGCATTACATATTTTTGACGGCTATGAGACAATATTAATAATACAAATTCAAAAAAGAAAAGGAACAGTGTTTCCAAAAAGTTTTAGAAATGAAAAGGGGTTTTTGTAGTGTTTGAAAAATTGGGGACATCTGAATTTTGTAAACTGCCGAGAGTTTTTTTCTATTTATAAAAGGTGCCCAATTTTCACCAGCTGGACAAAATCAGCTAAAAAGTGGAACTTCAGGATGATATTGGTTGTCTGAAAATATACAATGTATAAAATATACTGTGTCCATGCATACCTACGCATACAACGATGCAGAACAGCTAGCTATTTATTCAACAGTCTGTAACCAATGGAAAATGATTTGTAACCTTAATTACTAATGATAGTGAGATTAGGAATTTAATCATCATCGACCCATCATACTTTATAATTAGACGTAAATTTTTTTTTTTGACGTAATTACTTCCACCAACTACGTGCTTACCTAAGCCTACCGGGGGTTTAACTGAATAGTTAGCTGGATGTCGTTATTTCTTGAAGTATTCTCCTCAGGAGTTCTTGTAGAAGCATTGGATCAGAAGCAGCAAGTTGGTCGTTCTGATCATGTTAATTGTCAATTTTCTGTATGAACGTAATTGTAATAAATAAGAAAATTGACTAGGCATTTTGTCATTGACGCATACTTATGGACTTAATTGTAATTTGTGCTGAACAGAGTCGGTTAACTGTTTGCTATAAATTCAAACGGTTGCTGTCTAATTCAGTTTGAGGAAAATTGATAAACTGAATTCAATTTTTTCCTTTCCAAGTATAAACCCTAATTTTACCTTTGTTGCTCCCGATTATTAGAATGAATCAAATTGCTTTGTTTCTAGATAGTATCAGAGCAGGTTAATCTTGCTCTGAATCATTCCGCTGTGTTATTTCTTTTGATCGGAGTAGTTTTCTGAAGAAATTGATCGGAGACGAGAGTTCGTCGGAAATCTAAAATATGGTGAGGGATCGCGAAGCTCGAAGGGAGGATCGAGATCCAGATGAGAATGCTGATGGATTTCAGCAGGAAGAAGTTGAAGCTGTTAACTATGGAGGTTACATACATCCACTCACTTTGTTACCGTCGGTTACTCCGGCGATGATGCTGGTAACTGCTCAGTCGACGGACGTCAACTACGTTTCATGGAGCTCTGCCATCCGATGAGCTTTGGGAACAAAGAACAAGCTAGGTTTTATCGCCGGATCGGTTCCTAAGCCAAACCCTAGGTCACCTGACTTTGAGCAGTGGAATCGTGTCAATGATTTGGTAGTATCTTGGATCTTGAATTCGTTCTCACCAGGAATTGTAGAGAACTATAATCTTGCAGACAGTGCACAAGAATTATGGGAAGAGCTTAGGGAAGGATACGACACCGGAAATGGACCACAAATTTACCATCTGCGGCAAGAAATATGTACTGTCAGGCAGGGTAATGTTTCTTTGGCTTCTTACTACTCAAAATTGAAGCGTTTGTGGGATGAATTAGCACTGATAGATCCTCATGATGAATGTGAATGTGATGGATGTACTTGTGGTTTTAATCGGCAATTTAGTACCGGAGAAAATAAAATTAAACTGATGCAATTCCTTACTGGACTTAATGATACTTACAATGGTGTTAGAAATCATATTCTGGTGCTTGAGCCTCTTCTAGAAGTAAAGAAAGCATTTGCAATGGTACTAAATGTGGAAAAACAACAGGCTGTTAATATGACCTATGGGGAATTGACTGAAAGTAGTGCTATGCTTGCTCATAAAGGTGGTCAATATTAGATGTTCAATAATAGATTTGCTGGTTATCATGGTGGAGGAAGTACAGGAAATTCACAGAATGTTCCACAAACAGGAGGATTCAATAAAACTGGCTCTTTTGGCAGTTTCAACCAGACTAGCTTTCTAGGAAAGATGAGTAACAAAGGGAGTTCTGGTAGGGGTAATGGATTCATAATGGATAAGGCAGCCAAAAGGTTGTTGTATTGTAATAACTACAAACAGAATGGACATACAGAGATCACATGTTTCAAGATTCATGGTTATCCTGATTGGTGGCCAGGAAATAAGTCAACAGATGCATCAGGAAGTTATGGAAAAGCTACAGCAAACATGGTGGAAACACCACTAGACCCTGAGACAACAGAAAATCATGGAGATCTGCAAAATATCATGGTGAATTTGCTAGCATTGCAACAGGAAGTGAGTAAGATTGTCAAAGGAAAGATGGCAGGTACTGGTACAGAACAAATCAGTTTTGCTCATTTTAATGATTTTTCAGGTATGAGTAGCTTCCATAAACTCCATACCTTGGATCAGATAGCCTTAATTCTGTTGGAAGTTTTAAATCAGTGGATCATATAGGAGATGTTTCATTATCATCAGAGTTTATATTCCCTGACACCTCATATCCCTTCTTTCAATTATAATCTTATGTCAGTCAACAAATTAGTCACTGCTTCAAGCATATATTTCTTCTTTTCTACTTTTTTTTGTGTATTGCAGGACCAACAGACTAGAAAACTTTTGGCAGTGGGAAGAGTTATCAATCGACTTTATGTTCTGGATCATCAGTCACTCACACAAGACACCATCACTCAGTTTGTTTCAGCACATGTGAACCATCCATTACTGCTACAACCTAAAGCCTTTTCTCCTTTTCATTCCTGTTTTTCAACTCAATTATCTAATGTGAACTGGTACAAGCGATTGGGTCATCCAGCAGATGCTGTTCTTCATAAACTAGGATTTCCTTGTGCTTGTAATAACTCGAGTTCTACTTGTGACATTTGTCCATTATCCAAACAATATAGTTTACAGTTTCCTTCTAGTACTATACAAAGTACTAGTGTTTTTTATCATATCCATGTAGACATTTGGGGACCTAATTTGTGACAATTGTTGATGATTTCAGTAGAACTACTTGGACATTTCTAATGCAAAACAAATCACAAACCTTGTCTATTCTTCAAACCTTTCATGTTTTCGTTCAAACTCAATTCTCAGTCTCCATAAAACAAACCAGAACAGATAATGGGAGTGAATTCCTTAGTCATGATTGCCAAGCTTTCTTTCATAAGGTTGGCATTTTACACTAGAAAACATGCATCTACACTCCTCATAAAAATGGAGTAGTCGAGAGAAAACATAGACATCTCTTGCAAATAGCAAGAGCTCTCATGCTTCAATCAGGGCTTCCTAAAATTTTTTGGGGTGATTCTATTCTTACTGCCACATACATCATCAATAGGTTGCCTGCAATCTTAAATAATGTCAACCCTTATGAGATCTTATATAAAAAACCTCATGATTTGAATAATCTCAAGGTATTTGGTTGTTTGTGTTATGCAACCAATGTTCAACCTCAAAAGGATAAATCTGATCCAAGAGCATTCAAAGCAGTGTTCATAGGTTATCCAATTGGTCAGAAAGCTTATAAGCTATTTGATCTTACCACTAAAAGAGTTGTTATTTCCAGAGATGTCATATTTCATGAGAAAGAATTTCCATATTTAGATTCTACTACACCATCTTTACCATCAAATCCTATTCCCATTATATCAAATCCTCAAATAGTTGAACCTTCATCTACTACTCTTGTCATTACACTTTCACATAATGTTGAACCTGATACTTTAAACCCAACCATTCAAACCATTTTTCCTCTTAGAAGAAGTACCAGACATTATACTCCTCCAGCTTGGATGAATGACTATGATCTTCAGAGTGTAAAGTTGGCGGTTAATGATTCCTTACAACTGTCAAAAGGTACATCTTCTCCCTATACTTCTTTTACTTATCCTTATTACCATGCTCCACTATTTAGACCACACCATTTATCCTTTTTGACTGCCATAAGTCACTTGAAAGAGCCAGTATCTTATCTAGAAGCTAGAACTCAATGTGAATGGATTAAGGCTATGCAAGATGAACTTGATGCATTAGAACAAAATCAAAACTGGGAACTGACCACTTTTCCACCAGGAAAAAAAGCCATTGGCAACAAGTGGGTTTATAAAACAAAATATCATTCAAATGGAATTGTGGATAGGTTCAAAGCCAGATTGGTGGCTAAAGGGTACAATCAAGTGGAAGGTAAAGATTATTATGACAGCTTTTCACCAGTGGCAAAGATAGTTACAGTTAGAATATTGTTGGCTTTGGCAGCAGCTTCATACTGGTCATTGCATCAGCTGGACATTAACAATGCTTTCCTCTATGGTTATTGGGATGAGGACATATATATGCAACTACCCCAGGGATACCTTAAAGGAGACTCTACAACTATTTACAAACTTCAAAGATCTTTGTATGGCCTTAAGCAGGCATCCAAGCAATGGAACACTGAGTTCACTGCCAAAATACAGCACTATGGTTTTAGACAATCTGATCATGATCCATGTCTTTTCATCAAGTGTCAGTCGGGGTTGTTTCTGGCTTTAATTGTGTATGTTGATGACATTCTGATTACTGGATCAGATGAGTCAGAAATCCTATAGGTCAAGCAATATCTATATGATCTCTCCACAATTAAAGACCTGGGTTATGCAAAGTATTTCTTGGGAATAGAGATTGCCAGATCTTCTGAAGGGATGCATATTACACAGAGG